ATAAAATCATAAATGAAAACCAAATACCAGTATTTTGCGTTATCTAAAGTGAAGAATGCCTCTTGTAAACATGTATCACATCTATAAAATCTATCTTTAAGCATCACTTGATACGTATCTTCACCTATTTCTCTTATGTTTTTAAACTTATTTGACATACATGCAACGCGTGCCTTCTGTGCATTCATTATTTTAGTCTTTGCGTAATTTTGTGTATTCATTGCATCGTAACCATATGATCCATTAAGTGAAATCTTGCAAAATAAACTTTTTCCTTTATTTCCTTCTAATTCAGCCTTTTGTCTTTCGTTCATAAATTCGTTCGCAAATTCATTAAAGCAAGTGTTTTTCGTAAATGTTAAAATTGATTGAATATCATCAATGATAAAATGAAATCTGTCTATTAGATACCAAAGATAATAAGAAGAAAATGGTTGATATTGGTTGTGTGTTGATGCTAACTGAGTTAATTTCCTCTGTTTCTGGTCAACTGGTAGATTGTTTGATTTCATGTAATTATACATAAAACTGCCAATTGTTTTTTCATCTGTGATAATATCTAAGTTTCTTATTATTGGTAAAAAGTTTATGTAATCATTAATGTATTTTTCATCAATGTGACCCTTTACTTCAGCCACGAATAAAGTATTTTTCTTTCTAATTATTCCCAGTGCTTTTGCTTTCTTTGTTGCTGTATCACAAATGATAACACCATTCAATCTTCCCGGCATATACATTTTATGGTCAGTATATTGAATGAAATCATGAGGATTAGATGAAAATGATGAAGGATATAATGAATTAAAATCAACACCAACAAAATGAGTCATAATGTTGGTGGTGTCCTCATTTGATACAGTTTTAGTTTCTGGATTATATGAAAGTTTATTAATGTGCGTGATTCCTTTAAGATTAACACGATGTTGAACATTTGATAGACCACCAGTAATTCCATTACGGAGAATGTGATAAGCTTCAACTGAATCTAAAGTCATTGGTAAATTATTTTTTAATGCATAATTTCTTAAATTGATTCTTAAACGTTGAACATCTTCATCTTTATTTGATTTTACGACATTGCAATAACAACACATTAACTGACAATTTTCTTTGGTATGTGGTTTTTCATTATCGATTCTATCCAATGTTGGTTTATTAGCATATGTAAACGCTTTACCACACATTTTGCATTTAGATGAAAGGATTAAATCGTGATAGTATTGATAGTCATTCATTGAAACATTGTTTTTAGTATCCCTTTCTGCTTTTTCATCTTGTTTCTTATATGATTCAATTTTATATTTCCAATACTTTTTCGTTAATTCAAAACTTGATTCCACATTTTCTTCTTCTGGATATGTTTCGTTAGGATTGAAGTTCTTATATGCTAACGCGTAACGAATCATTGATGCATTCGATGATAAAGAAAGATTATGAAGCATGTCAATTTTATAAACAAATGTTTCTTCAATAATTTTATCAATTGGGTTAATCATAATTTCAACGTCTTTATTGCAATAATGAATAAAATATTCTAATCTATTCTCAAAATTTTTAGCATCATTGAGATATATTTGATAATCTGAATCGGATATAGTTTCTTGAGTTAATGCTGAATAAAATGAATCTTTCGTGAATGGTTCCTTTTTATATAATTCATCTTCGTAATTTTCCCACGTGATGAATTGATAAGGGAAAAAGGATTTAACACGTGATTTATTGTTTCCGAAATCTTGAGTGAATTGGTCTAATGTTCCACCCGCTATATAATTTCTGATGTCAATAAATCTTAATTCATATGGACAGTTTGTTTTCTTTACAATGATTTGCTTAAATTGAGAAGATGAACCCAGCATTGATTTTATTTTCCATTTTGCAGTGTTTAAATCACGAAGAATTAAATTTAAATCAAACTTTCCCGAATTAAAACCTATGATATTCACTTTATTAAATTCTTCATCTAAAAGCTCTTTCATTGCTTCCTTTTGTTTCTCATTTAATGTATGAGACAAAGTCCCGCCGTTTGGTCCGTTTGCGGCTTCATTAATTCTTCATATTGTTCAATATTTGATTTAGCAACTAATGAACAGGTTGAAAATAAAAACTCAATCCAATCAGAAATAAAAGAATCACTCGAAGTTAAGCAAAAATTCCTCGTAAATGTTTTATCACGGTCTACGACCTCGCCGCTTTGCGGCTTTATTTTGACAGTTGATGATACCATAAATGGTTTTAAGTAAGCGTTCAAAGTTGCACATTCAGAAAGTTGAAGTTCTTCTTTAGTCTCTAATGTTTCGAAGTCAAAAGTAATATAATATCTTGTTGTTTATAATATTCCTGCAAATTATGTGCTAATAGCCATTGATATATCTTCTGTTTCGTGATATGTGGTGCATATGGTTGTTGTGTGTTTTGCAATTGAACGTCTTGAATTAATCTTCCATTATTTTCTTTACATTTCTCACAATGTTTTAAAAATCTTCTTTGGTTTTTCCTTTCTGGATCATCACGGATAGAATAAACTTCTTCTTTGCAATATGGACAAACTTTATAGCCGGTGAGTGCTTCAACGTCTGTTATTCTGTCAGCGTGAAGTTTTCCACATGGACTCTGTGTTAATAAAATATTTACTGTTTCAAATTCTGGATCTATCATTATTGATTCCACTAATGGAAAGTCTACCTTGTTAATGTCTACGTCTTCTGGTTGAGGGTCACAATAATAAAAATCAATATTAACGTTTAACATTCTTGCTAACCTCTCACTTTCTGATGAAATGTCAAACCCTTCATATGCATCTATTGCTTCATTTAAATAGCTTCTACGAGTTTTAGGATTAACACCATCAGGAATGTTATAGAAGCGTTTAAATAACCTTCTACCTTCTGCTCTAATTTGATTATCATTCATTTTAGCTGTTCCGTTTTTGTTCATTTATGTAAGAATAAAAATTAAAAAAATAAATAAAAATAAAGTTTATTTTTTTTAAAGTCCAGGGCTAAAGTCCATAAAATGAATTAAGAACACATAAATTTTTATCATCCGCGACGTGACGAATACATTTTAATTTACTCAAGAATGCGTACCCTGATACATTAAATCTAATTCCTGTCTTATTTAATTTCACAACTTTGAAAAGGAATGTATGAATAGCTATAAAATGATGAGATGATGTTTTATGGGTTGCTTCCATTTTTTCTGAAATAAATGAATAAATATAATGCTTATACGTTTTCATATCTTTTATGTTCTTAATAATGAATGGTATAGACCTTTCAACTTCATCTTCCTTCGGTGCTGTTCTTTCATATGAAACATTATTGGTATCTTCAATAATGAAACCACAATCGCATAAAATTTTATATGTACCAATTGTTTCTTTTGATATTTTATCTAACAAATCAAAAACTTTATCAACACCTGTGCATTTATTTAAATAATAATTTGTGTAAATATCATGGTCTTCTTTCTTAATCGTATTTGTTGCATATGTTACATTTTTCAGTGCTTTTTTGAATTTTTCAGAATCAAGAGGAGGTGAAAGTAATATACATGGATAATCTCCATCGTCAATAAATTGTAACTTATGTTTATGAATAAATTTAGTACCTTCTTGTGAAAGTGTTTCGTCTATTTCACCATCTAATAAATTTTGTGTTGATTCTGAGACATAATTTTTATATCTTTCTTCATGAGATTTTTGAACTGCTGATTCTGAAGCTGGGATATTCATTAAACCCTCTACTTCATTTTCATTATATTTTTCAACTTCTCTTAATTCCTTAATTTTTTCATCTATTTCATCTCTTATTTTTTCCAGTCTTTCAATTTCATCATATTCATCATCTTTAATCCGTTCTTCATAATATTCAGGGAAAACATCAGGTTCTTTAGGTTTTTCTTCTTCAGATGTGGGATATAAGAAATTTATAACATCATCTTTATTCATTTTTCTATCATAATCAAACTCATTTAAAAACTCCGCGAATTTTTGACAATTTCTTAAATAATATTTACTAACCTCATAACCCGCTTCCTCTAATATATCCTTTATTTCCTCATTTGTGAATCCCAATTTTTTAACGTTGTTAGTTTTGACACTCATTTTCATACAAATTAAAAAATAAATTATTCAAAAATGTAAGACATGAATTTTTAAAGTTTATTTTTTTTATTTTTTTATTTTTTTTATTTCATTATGTATGGGTTTAGTGTAAATGTCTTACAATTTTGAAAATTTTTTAAATCTTGATTTATTCAAAAACGTAAGAATAAAAACCGTAAGAATCATACATTTTTTACTTCATATGTTAAAAAAAATGATACAAAATCACTCGATATTGTATGAATTCTTACGTTTACAAAAAAAGTCACAAAACCCGCATTATATACTACTTTCGCCCATTTGACAGCTACTTCAAATTATTCCCAATCACTTGTATTCTACTTAGCTCGCATTACCACTATTAAAGAAAATTTTCATAAGAAATGACAAAATTAAATCTATTGTTCCAATTTTTACATAATTATTGGACGTGAATATGGAATTTTATTTATGAGGTTCTAAAGTTCTTTTCGTTCTCCATTATTACAAAATTTTTCATACTATTTTTATGATGAATTACTTTGGCTTTGACAGGAATGTAAACAAATGTATCGAAGTACATGTTAATTCAAATATTTCAAAATTGCATGCTGCATCAATCTAATATGTTAGTAGATTTAATAACTTACGAATACCAATTAATTTGTAGATTGATGCCAATTTAAGTTTGGACTTACCACTTTCTGACATTCTCTCAATTTTTTTGACACTCTTCAAGGTAATAATTTTGTTCAGGTAAAATGACTTTTACATTAATGTTATACCTTTTTGCTATTACAATAAAGATATTTTGATATTATGGAATATGTGGTAAGTACCACCTTTAATATAAAAATATTAACAAATAATAAAAAAGTTCACATTTTAATATATAAAAAAATAATAAAAAATAAACTTATAATCCATCGAGGTAGATTATACGCGCGTACTTTGCGCTAAACCAGATATCGAGAAGTTTCTCGAATCTCTGTTGGTCTAATTTGAGGATGAACCCCTGTGTCATTCCGATGTCTTCATCACCGTAATCATTGATGTAAGGCGAAGGAAGAGCATAATAAGATTTGTGACCAAAAACCAACACACTACTTAATCTGTCTGCGGAAACATCAATGAGAAGATTGAAAGGATTCATTAACAACCTGCTGAGTTGATTAGCACTGACTATTTCTCCTGCATTATTTCCATCCAAAACTAAGTATGTCTGTATCTTATTTGCGATGTTGATTTCGAAAGGAGGTTCCATGAAATCAATAATTGTTTTCGGAAGCCGAATTTTGAGGGAAACTCTGTTTGTTGAATCCTTGTAGTTCAAGAATTGTTTTCTATCATTTTCATCTTTGATTTCGAAGAAGTCGAGAAGGTTATTTATATCAAGAACTTCATCCCAATCGACATCTTTCATTTCATTTTGTTTTACCAATTCGATCTTCAAAATGAACTGATAGAAAATCGCGAGTCTTCTCAATACAACAGGATTCATTTCATTATGGCTTTTGAGTAATTCAAGAGTGAATTTCTTGATGTCCTTGTAATCCTGGTTTTCCAAGCATGCCAATGAGTAGAAAATCTCATGACAATAGTATTCAGGGAGTTCTCTTGGACCTGATTCTGTTTCAATAACTTCAGGAGGATCGGAATATAAATGATCATATTTAATGACCAATCTTATGACTCTCCAAATGTTTCTTAATCCCGTGAAATTATAACCCATGAAACAATTTGGATTAATCAAATGTCTGAACTCCAAAACAGCGATTTCATTGATGATTCCATCAAGAGCATTTCTTATATCCGCATGGATATTATCCAAGAATTCGAAACAAGCATTTGCCAAATTAGAATTAGTTATGTTACATTCATCAACATCATCAGGAATCAAAGGACAAATTGCATTGCAATGTCCTCTATCCAAAGGACAATCAAACAACATTGCTGGAACACATTTCCTGTGCAAATGATGGTTACATGGGAAATATCGAATTTGTGGAATAGTGAAATTAAATCCATATGTTTCTGTTGGTCCATAAGTTGCCAAAACAGGGAAACCAACAATATCTTGTGATTTCAAATCATTTGGTTGTTGACAAATTGGACAAATGTCTTCATCCATATTTTCATCATCAGAAGATTCATCGTCAATATTTCCAAGGAAACTAGATTGTTGGCGTTGCATTTCTGCAATTGCTTTAAGACGCATTTCTCTAGCAATTTTCTTTTTCTCGTTTATTGTGTCTTCGTTCATTTTGATTTCTCCAACATTTATTCTTCTCAAGAATTCTTCTCCAGGAATTCCCAACTGAGAAATCATTTTGAAAAGCTTTCCTTCTTGTTTTGTCATAAACAATTCTTTCAAATCTGTTTCGAAAATCTCCTTTTTCGGTTCGTCTTTGATTATTTCCGCAGATTTCTGGTGTTTCAACACGAAAACAGGCATCAAGAAATGAATCATATCTGTATCATTCTTCAACATCAAGTTCTCTGCAGCATAATTCCATTTCTTTGTACAAATATATCTCAATAACTTCAAATCATTATAATCAGAATCAACAGTTAAAGGGAATAAAGAAGCCTTGTTTTTGCTTGTAAAAACTTGTATCATTTCTCTTAAAAGAGGAAGATTGAAGAATGAATTATAATAGGGGAGGAAATTCTCATCTTTCAAACGAACAAAAACATCATCACTTTCGAATTTGTTACAAATTTCTCTTATTTCCTTGTTTATGTCAACAACACTTGTATTGATATATAATCTATTGAGAACATAATGCAAAGGTATTGGACGAATCCTTATCATTATAAATGTAAGGATTTTGAGGAAATTCAAGTCGGAATAATCAAATCCAAGTCTTTGCAAAGAAATCGTTGTAAGGAAATGAATGTAATCAGCATCATCGCGTTCAACAGCAAATGTAGAATCAACTAATTCCAAGAATTTCTCAGTAGACATGATACCAGCACAAATTTGGACCATTCCGAACATCGGAACCCATATGTCTTTGATGCAATTGTCGCTGTGTAATACTCTGAACGCGATGCTGATGATCGTTGCATTTCTTGCGAAGAAATTCTTTTCAGAGTAGTAATGGCCGACAAATGCTCTCATTGGCAAACTTGCAATGACAGAACAAAAATCATCAAGAGAAACATCCAATTTCTTGGCAGCGTTTTCGAAGATTGGTCTGAATTCTTTTGCATCAACTAATGCAATGTATGTTGACACACAAAGAACTTGCATTAAATGAACAGTGTTCTCAGGATTGGCCGGACAATTATTATCCGAAATCGGTTGTTTCTTGTGGAGTTTGTACAAGGAAATTAACATCCTTTCCTTGTCAAGATAAGGAGCAAGAGTGATCGTGCAGTAGTCAATGTAACAAAGAGTGAGTAAATGGACAATTGTTGGGTCTTCTTCGTCATCATCTACTTTGTCTCCGGTTGGAATTCGGTTGAAATTAACTCTGTAAGGGAAAAGTTCGAGGTAATCGATGTAGACATCGCCAAGCATGCGCTTTTGTTCGTCTGTAACTTCTGGTTTCTGGACAATTCGTTGGATAAAAGATTGATATTCGGAAATGAAGGAAGAAATGGCAGATTGAGTGTAGGAATGACAGTTAGTTACTCGGCTGTAAAGATCGTAAAGCGCGAAAAGTGCTTCGCGAACAGAAGAGATCCAACTTGAATCTCGTAAGAAAATGTCGATAATAACGCTGGAATAGCAGTGGAAAAAGAAGCCTGCAATGTTCTCATTCTCATCGCGGATGGGAGCTTTGAGAATTTTTGGTAGTTCGGATAATAAATATGGTAAAAATGTGCGATCGAAGTAAATCTCGTTAACGATGCTGGATTCGAGCGCGAGAAGAGCGGTGAGAGCATCTGAATGAAGTCTTAAATGAAGCTCAACGGTGCATGCTGGACAAATGGCCATGGAAAAGCATCTGAGAACTGGATCTCCAAATGTAGTGAATCTTTTGAGCCACCTGATGATGGTGAGTGCACCACTATTTGGGGCATCCTGAAGAAACAAAGCAGCTGTTGAAAATGCTATAAAGAAATCTGATTGTTCTTGTTCTGTCAAAAGAGCTTCGGGATGCTCGCTTTGCTTGTGATGCTTGGTACAGAATGATTCTTCCTTCCAAAAATTAGTGTCGCCACAGTCGCAGTTGCCACTTTGATTAATATGGCATTTAACATGATGTCCTTCGTGATTTGAATGCCTAAAACAATCATAGCATATACAACTGTTTGAAGAAAGTCTGCATTCCTCGCAGTTAAATGAAAGGCAGTCTTTAAACCACGAATTATTGCATTTCGAAGATGGATACTTAGATCTGTAAAAATCTTCCATCTCATCGAAGTCACTGAAGCGTGAACCTAGTAATGCTTCTTCAATATCTTCAAGTTCATCTTTATAAGGATCATCCTGATGATATAAATTAAACATTATGATGTCACTTTTATTGAAAAGGGTGGGCGTCCTGATGTAAACTATTCAATTTTTGAGAAGTTTACACCATAATTGAATAGTTTATGGCGTCCTGAGAGGAGATTTCAATGGGTATGGCGTCCTAAAAAATAGAAGAAAATGATTTTTTCTCGATTTTTCTAGAAATTGAATTTTTTTAAAAAGAAAAAAATCAAAACGTATACATTCAAGAAAGACTATAAATGAAGATTTTTCTATTTTTTTTTTCATTCTAAAACATCTTTTTTTGGATAATTTTTTTAAATAAATATGTAAGAAAGATTGAAGAAAAAGTAAATTTACTTTAAGAAAATTCGTTTTACATGATGTAAGACCCATAACAACTATAAATATTCAATTATTTAAAATAAAAAAAAGAAAAACAGATTAAATGTATCTCACATCAAAATCCATTGACCTAAGGATGTTAAGTTTCTGTTTTTAAAAGTTGATATTTTTTTTTAATTTTAAGAAAATTAATAGCATGTTATTAGACAATAGGAGTGTAATGATATTGACTAAACAGAAATGAGAGAATAGAGATATAATTTTGATAAGCAATATTGCGAACAAATTCTGAAGTAAAATCGCGATCAATAATTGAAAATTACGATCATGTACTGAAAAATGACGATCGAATTGAATGAATAGAATTATATCTAAGAAAAAATAAATTGTATTTAGAAGATGAACAAAGAAAGGTGTATGCTAAAAATCATTTAACAATAAATGGAAATAAAACGAAATTGTTAAAAAAAAAAATGAAAATTGTTAAATAATATATTATTTTTTAGTCATAAGAATAAAAATATAGTAGTTATAAAAGGAATTAGACTTCATATATCAATTCTTTTTCTCTGTAGATGTGGAACGTTTGCTTTTCGATCTCTTTCGATGAACTTGAAAATATAAGTTATTATCGCTGAGAATCCTTTCCGAAATAGGAGCTTTACGTTTAGGAGGATTGTCGGATGAATTTTGTTTTTTATTGTTTGATTTTGTTGTTATGGAAGATTTTTTCTTATTTTTTTCAGAATTTTGCTTGCTATTAACTGAAACTTGTTTTGACGGCCCAACAATAGCATTTGTAGTAGGAAGAATTCCCAATAACGAGCGCATTTTCGATAATTGTTTTTCAATATGATCAAGAAGGTCCAGCTTATGTTCTAGATTACTAGACATTTGATTTGTAGAAGGATGGTTTTGATTTTCTGGTTCTAAATCTGTAGAGTCTGCAATATTTGAATTTTCGGAGCGAATTGGAGCATCTGAACCTTGATTTGTATCGGCTTGCTCAAAATTAGTTTGAATTGGAGTGGATGAATTAAAATCTGGATGATTTAATGTTTCATTAAATAATGCCATAATTTTTTCTCTTTTTTCATTAATAAACTTAGTGATCATTGTATCTTTATCTGTTAGATCGATCGATTTGAGTATATCTGCATCATGAACTGGAATATTTTCGAACAATGAACTCGATTCTATGGAACCATATGGAGAAATCTCGTTCTGAGCCAAAGAAAGATCACTTACGTTGTATTGTTTGATAGAAAAAATTGTTTTCTCAAGTTCTTTTTGAAAGCAGTCAAGAATATAATTTTTGTAGCTATCAGTGATAACGGTTTTTATATGGCGCTCGATCTTCTGGTTATTTTTGATGGCGTTATATTTATCTAATTGGATTTGAGATATCTTCTTAATAGCTTCATAAATGTTTGGATGTTTTAACGAAGAAAATTCTGAATGCATACTCTCGAGGCAATCATTAGTGAATATTGCAGTTGCATTATTATATTGAGATATTAAATTGTAGTGCGGCAACCAAACTTTGTTGAAATAATCAATATAATCTTTGATCGAATCAACTTTATTTTGATTAATTATATGCATTGTAAGTACAAATTCTTCATGAGACATGAATGGAGTAATAGAATATAGCTTAAATAAAGAATTTTGTAAAGTATTGAAATTTTTTGTATAAAGTGCTACAAGTTTCCTGTGTAAAGCTTGTTTGAAATGAAATAGGCATCCAATTATACGGACTTTAGGGAAAATTTGTTGAAGTGCCTCTATCATTCCCTTTTCAAAATCACAATGAATTTGAATTAGCTTTGAAAATTGAATACCCTTGACAGTAAAAATATATTCAAATGCCTTCTTATAAGATTCAAATGTGCGGTTTTTCATGAATATAAATAAAAGTGGTAGATATTGATTTGTTGAAGGTTCACAAATCATAATTGTTAGCATCTGTCCTTTTTGAAAATGTTTTGGTGTAATTTTAAAAGTTCCATCGCAAAATAAATCTGTGGCTTCTTTTGCAAATTGAATTGCCTTCTCAAAACCAAAAAACATCGTCTCACAATTTGCTTGAACATCATGGCCAATGAAAAACTGCTCGCCATTTATTAAACAAAAATTAGCAATTTCATCGTCTGTAATTTTTTCTCCAACAGAAAATTTTCTGGACTTATTATAAACTTCCCTGACCAATGAATCTTTAATTAATGGGTTTTCATCAGTACCAACAGCAAGTTCTGTCATAAATTTTTTAATCTGCTGAAAAGTGCCGTTGTCTTCAGAAAATTTTGCCATTGCCTTATTGTATATTTCTGTCAGAGTCATTGATTTATGAAGATCATTTTTTTCATTTTGTAACTTTTTAAATTGTCTGCATTCGGGTATATGTTCCTTTTGTAAATCTTCGGAAACTGAACTGTTCTCAATTTTAACTAAATAACGTGCTTGACAAGAATGATCGATGCAACGGTAGTAACGTTCAATATTATTTGAATTAATAATATTTGTATGATCATGCGAATAAAGCATATCTTTGCGAACAATTGTATCAGGATATTTTCCAGTAACTGCGGGAATATTTTTAACTGCAATATAACTAAAATATCTTCTGACAGCTTTAGATTCATTTTCGGCGTATTTAATATTAAAATATTGAAGAACTTGTTTGATTATATTCGTTTTTTCATCTCTCGATGTTGATTTTTGGTATTTATCAGATTGTTCCCTGATAAATATTTTATTTTCGTCTGTAAAGTTTGCTCTTTTTTGATTAATTATAGATGATTTTCCCATTAAAAAATGAAATGATGCAAAATTTACGAAAACCGTTCGAAAATTGAATCAAAAATGAAAAGTAATACTTAAATGAGGAATTCTTTGAGATATTGGTCTTAGATTGAATGTAGCGTCATTCTTATATAGAATATATATTCATATCATCGGAAATATGATAAAAAGCATATAATAAATGTCAAAAAAGTGAACAAATAAGCAAAGATATTTTTTAAAAAACAATGAAAAGTAATACTTAAATGAGGAATTCTTTGAGATATTGGTCTTAGATTGAATGTAGCGTCATTCTTATATAGAATATATATTCATATCATCGGAAATATGATAAAAAGCATATAATAAATGTCAAAAAAGTGAACAAATAAGCAAAGATATTTTTTAAAAAACAATGAAAAGTAATACTTAAATGAGGAATTCTTTGAGATATTGGTCTTAGATTGAATGTAGCGTCACAAATTTCACAAATATAATTTACTATACAATTTTATTCATTTTTTTAAAATGGCTGACGACAGTCTGTATCAACTAACTCAACTAGTCAAGCATAATGATTATTCTTCGGATTCATTAAATCAACTTTATCAATGCATAAGTACAATGACAGAAAGATCAATTGGATGCTTGAATTGGGATAAATTTTTCAAAAAAATCACAGTGACTGATGAAGTTCTTTTACATTTTTTAGCATCTGTTTTTAAACATTGAAAAGATATCAGAATGTTTCAAGGATTCTATTTTTTATCACAATATTAATCTTGAAAAATTCAGTAATTTAACTGAAACAGAACAACAAACAATTTTAAATTCCTACAAAGCGGATAAATTTACATATTACATAATGTGCTCACAAATTGTAAAATCAAACTGGAACAATTTATCCCAAACTTTAGTTAATATTGCAAATCAATATTTGCCATTTTTAGATGAAGAAAAGCAAATATATATATTTACTGAAATAACTGGCAATTATCAAAATTTTGAAATTTCAGTTGCAAACTTGTTACTTTTTTATGAAAACAATGAAGAAAAATTAAGCAACTGTTTTAATTTAACATTGTTCCAGCAAATTTATTCCAAAAATGGAATCGAGCAAATGATATTTTTTGCTGCAAATACAATTTGTTGCAATAACACTTCTATCAATTTTTACAATCTCCTTGAAATTGAAGAAATGAATCCATTTGATTTTTTTTATTTCTCAATTCAATATAAAGAGATATTAAATTGCGATGATTTTCCAAAAGTTACAGAAGTAATCACAGGTTTAATCTCAGCTTCAAATATTAATGCTATTATGCGAATTTGCCAAAAAATTTTGGATAAAATTACATTTTATAAATGTAATTATTGCCATATTACCTCAATATGGAATTTTATCACAAATGCAGCAATAATTCTTCCTGATGAAGATTTATTAATCAAATTATTAAAATTCATAGAAAAAACAGAAAAAGCAACAGATGAATTATTCGAACCGGAGAATGATTTGGGTTTCTATGAATATTTAAATTCGATTTTCTCAGATATTACATCTGCGAGAAATAAGCAATTTCTCTTGGAATTTCTAAATACCCATGAAGATAACTTCACTTATTATCAAACATTGTGAGGTCATTTTTGATCAACAAATTAATTGAAATTCCGATCAAAAAAAATTCACAAATTGGATCAAAAAAATCGAATCTCAAGTTAAAAATAAAAAATTTCTACATTTTTATCAAATTTAGATTTTTTTCAAATCATGCGAATTGATTGAATAATTGCATATTTTCTCCCATGCATCTAGAAGTATGTGTAATATTTTTGCTTTCATCAAGAAATTGTCGAATTTGATCTTAATTTTTTTGAAAAATATACTTTTAGAAAAAGAAATAGTGATTGAATAGCTGCCCATGCTGTAAAAGGGTTATTTTTACAAGTAAAAAAATTGTTATTTTTCGAGCAAGTCGAGGCTTTTTTACCATCTTATTTTTGAAAAATTTACGAAAAATTATATCTGAAAAAACGCTTCATTTTGATATCTTACAATGATAAAATACCAATGTTGCTGGGATATAATAGCTACACCTGGACATCTACTACATTAATGCGTATGACAGGTAAAGTTGATTTCAAAAGTATAGCCTGGAAAGATTACAATAAATCAACGATAATTCAAAAAAATTTCTTATAAGTTAACATAATAAAAATTTAATTTTTATATTGCTTGTATTATACTTAAGTATATAATATATTTAAATCTTAGAATGAAAATTCGGGACGCCCTAGCTATTCAATTTTCCCTTAGGACGCCCATAAACCTCTCAAAAATGTGATGTAAATATCACAATTTTGAGAAATTTACACTAGGACGCCTTAGGACGCCAAACCCCTTTTTTACCATTATTTTGACAACATCAACATTTTTTCTTCTGTGAAATTAAAAGCATTTGGCTTGTAAATGAAATAAATGATTTTTGTTTGATAGAAATGTCAAAATTTTGAGGATGGGATTATCCAGCAATTTTTAATCCTGACAGAAGACATCCAAAAAAACTCCAACATATCAATCTTTTGCATATCCATAGATTAATGAGAGGTAATTTTGAATTTCGAACCTAAATTTTAATTTACTGTGCTTATAATGCTTATTAATTACTGCAAAATAAATCTATACCTATATAAATAATATTTTAGGATAGAATAATAAAAATAAATGTTGACATACAAAATTATTTTTTCATTTTCGTTCAAAAAGATAAAAAAAGAGATGAATTCCACTAGAAATAAAGAATATTATAGCTGTTACTCATTAAAACTTGAACACTCAAAAATACATAAAATCATTTCAAATAAAGTTTTTATACTCAGTTCATTACTCATTAATACTTCGGAGGCGAAACATAAGAACTTTAGATGATAGTTAAAGGATTATCAGTATATGTCGAAATTTCGTGTAAAGTTTGAGTTTTGTTAAAAAATATATGTGCTGAAATCTACAATGATGAGTATAGAATCATGTTATACCACTTTAATATCTGCTTATTTACCACGCAGACAATAGCAATGAAAATAAGTTTTTTATGTCACTTTTCTTCCTAGAACATGAAAATACTCTGTAAATAATTGTCACTTTTTCATTCTGAATGCACTCTAAAAAAGGATCCCTTGTTTTCAAATTTCTAGCAATTGGTGATTCAGATGTAGGTAAAACTAGTCTCGTGAAGAGATTATGCTCGAACGAGTTTTCGGATGCAGAGTCTAGTACAATAGGGGTCGAATTTCTGACTCATAAAGTCAAAATTAATAATCAAAAGATACACCTTCAGATATGGGATACTGCTGGCCAAGAGAAATACAAATCCTTAGGAAAAATGTATTATCGCGATGCAGTAGCTGTATTATTAGTTTTTTCAATTGTAGATTCGGCTTCATTTGAACATTTAGAAGACTGGTATACAGAAGCAAGGAAATTGTGCCATCCAAACGCGAAAATGTTATTAGTCTGCAATAAAATAGATTTAATCGAAAATAGAGTTGTATCAATTATGCATATAGAGCAATTTTGTAAAGCACGTCAATTAGAATATATTGAAACCTCCGCAAAAGAAAATTCCAACGTGGAAGAGTCATTTCAGCTTTTAGCACGTAAAGTATTACAAGCAGTAGCTACAAATGAAATACAACTTGACGATGCATTCCCACAAGAACACATTATCGAACCTACACCAGAAAGAGCTTGCTGTTAAATTAATATCATTAATTTATAGTCTCTATGTACAATATGCTTGTATGTTTTTCTATTAAATGTATATGTTTTAACCAAAAAAATATATTTCGATTTTTTTATTACATTAGGGCTCATAATGCTATGACATAGTTTCACAATGAAGCTTAGAAACTAATGACAGCTTCTTTTATGTATTAAGTAACAATTAATTTTTGCTTTGTAAATTTTAAAGCTTTGGAAAATTGTACTATTACCATTTTCATTGACTAGTGATTATCATATGATTCTTTAATTCATATAGCTCTAATCAATGTAATAATTAAAGATATTGATTCGATAATCAAGCAAGTTTTATAAAAAGTTCAGAAATTGGCTCACAATCTAAAAATGATAAAAGAATTTGAATTGTGAAGTCATTATTTTTCTGGAAAAATAATTTTTCTGATGGAAATTTTATAGTTTACATTTTTTTCAAATTCCATCATCAATGAGTGATATAACATTTACAGAAGAAGAAATCAATGCAGAAATGAATAACATATCAGATGAAGAGGTTCTTGAACAAATTAATAAAGAAATTCAAGAAGGAATGCACAAAAAACTAGAAGACAAAAAATACAAAGAGAATTTAGAGCGCCTGAATAAAATTTTGATGAATTTAGACAAATGGAAAACTTTAATTACCAGTCAACTCCAAAAATATTCCGAGATTGTTGATAGCTCAAAATCTAAGAATCCTAATATTAAAAGTGAAGTTACATCAGATATGTTAAGGGAATCCATTAATGATAAACAAAGATTTATAGATTTAATTCAACAATTTGAAGACTCAGTGAAAAATAGCACTGCAAACTAAGATACCTTTAATTTTTCATCTTCCTACTGTATGCTATTAAGTAATATGTACAATTACTCTTTAATTATTAAATAATTTTTATTATTATAAATAAAAATCTTGGTAATCATTTGTAACATCTTATTTTAAAGCAAAATAAATGCAACTTATTATTTTCATCCATTGATTTTAAATGTTAATTTTTTAAAATATTAGTCTACAAACGAATTTCCAAATAAGTATCATCTTAGTGATCGGAAAAAGTATCAGAACCTATTAAAATATGTATTCACACTTTTTATTGGATTGCAGCTTCTCACATAAAGTGCGAAACATATTTTGAATATGATGGCAAGCTCGAATTTAAATTAAGTGGATCATCAAGTGACGACAATCATGCCATTGATGGATCCAGTTCAAAATACGATTTTTACTCGATTCCCTCTTCTTCTTACAGAAAGATGGATTCATATAGTGCAGTTGGAAAAGCAAGTTGTCTTGGCCTTCCATCATGGGCAATTGCTATTGTTGTTATCTTTGTTATCATTTTTATCATACAATACTCCAGAAATGAAAAATGAATATGGCAATCCATACAAATAATAGTCACAGAAAGCGATGTTAATTTATTTCGAATTAAATTGAGAAATATGTGTATCTAATAAAGTTTTTAATTATATAGGTCAGGTAAGTGGGGCTTCCAGGCGCGTTGCGCCCTCTAGCCCATAAGAAATTTTGCCCAAGACCCAAGAGGAGGACCGAACCCCAGCCGACCAGCCGGTGACAAAACCAAAACCGTTGTTATTTACATCATATTAATGGTGTCACTTTTTAAATGTCACTTTTTATATCACTTTTCACAAATTATATATGTTTTCATGTTTTGTCACTTTTCTGTCACTTTTCGGGTAAAAACATTTTTATTATTATATATAAATGAATTTTACAAAACCGCCGTTACCATTCTTTGGAAATAAGAGTAGATGTAAAGATATTATATTGAGAGAACTTAAGAAACTACCGAATGGTCTAACATTTGTAGATTTGTTCGGTGGAAGTTTCTATATATCCCATTTATGTCATACCGTATTTCCTGACTCAAAGATTATATGCAATGACTTCGACAACTATATGGACCGTCTCAAACATATTCCAGACACAAATAATATATTGAAAGAGTTAAAAGAAAAGATACCTATAGGTAAGATGGAACGTATACCATTAGATAAGAAAAATATTGTGAGAGAGGTTTTGAAAAAAGCAGAATATATAGACTGGGATAGTATATCTGCTAGACTATTATATAGTGGTTCTATAAGAGTTCATGACATTGAAACACTTATGTCAAAAGTTTTATATCTTAACTATACAAATGTTTTCAAAGAGGACATAGAAAAATATATTGAGGGTATAGAGTTTGTGAGGTGTCATTGGACAGAGTTGTATGAAAAATATAAAGACAAGGAAAATGTTTTCTTTATAGTGGACCCGCCGTTCTATAACACATGGGATTTTCAATACCAAGTAGACTGGACTTTGAGAGACTCTTTAGAAACTTTAGACGTTATACATAACCATCCATGCTTTTACTTTACATCCGATAAAAGTGGTTTGGAAACCGTTATGAGATGGTTAGAGGACATACATGACTATGAGTTTATATATGACAAGATAGAATATGAGAGAGGTCCTATAAACCGGAGAAAGTGTCACAATAAAGAAATTTTATTAGTAAGTAAATGTGGTTTGAAATAGGACTACTTGTTTTAGGTTTTTTCCATTGTGTCATTTATTTATTTGACGTGGCAGAAAAGTACAGAGAATATGAAGATGAACCAATGCCTGCAAATGTTCAGCATATGTACTCGTAAGAGATATTTTTATCTAATATTAAATGGACGCACAGAACTTAGCGAATGCACAGCAACCTGGACAACCAAACCCAGAGAATATTCCAAATGAAGTTAGAATACAAACTGCAATGGCAAACTATGGTCAAGTGCCAACAGATGTACAAATGCAAACTGCCATGTCAAATGACGCTGCGTTAGATTTGCCACCATGGTATGCAAATATGAGATGGAAAGAGTTTTATACAAACCCTGAAGTGGGATATAAACAACTTTATGCAGATGACGCGAACACAGGAGTTGACCCAGAATATGTTTTCTACCAGAGGAGAAACAGAATGTATGAGCTCCAGTTAAAGAATGCTATGGAACTCAACAGGAAACGTAAGAGACTAGGCGGACATTAGATTTTTACATATAGTAAAATGGGTTTCTTCAGTAAGATAGGAAACTTCTTTCGAAATGTTGGAAGAGGTATATGGAATGGAATAAAATCTGTCGGAAGAGGAGTATGGAACGGTGTCAAAAATATTGGTAAAAGAGTAGGTCAGTTTGTTGGTATTATACCTAAAGACCCTGAACCAGAAGAACAAGCTCCTGTAATACAACAGCCTGAACCTGCACCACAGTCTAGTTGGCAACCACAACCTGTATATTAAAAATTATATTTTTACCGTTCGATAGTAGTTGTATATGAAACTAAGTTCTAAGTAAAACGCATGGTATAATGGAATTATTCTTTTCTTCCATCTGTAGTAAACCATACTTGAAAGTCTGAAATACTTCCACTTGGTGGTTCGTATAACTTTGTAGGTTTTTCGTAAAAGTCATTTGCCAAGCATAAGAAAGAGTTTTGGGCGCCAGAAAATGAAGCATGAACTATCACAGCATCTTGGTCGAAAACATCTTTAAATAAATATGGTTCATCTCTTGCATATCGACTGTAGATATTTGCTAAAGGAGGTTCAACTTTCTGATTTAACATTCTTTGCAAATAATACCATGACATTGCAGTGAATTCTGTATATATTTGTTCGTCTTTATTTGGATTGTCTTCATAGATTTGAAATGACACTTGTGAATTTTGTTTGTCATATACAATTCTCACATAAAGTGTGCTATCGGTATTCGCATATTCATCAGCATATTTTGCATAACATGAATTTATTTTATCTTCTATATTTTTTAATGCAGCCTGTAGAGAAGATGAGAGGTCAACTTGTATTAGCTCAATTTCTTCCCACATTTTTCGTTGCCCTTCAGATGTATAATCTATATGAAACCTTACAATAAATGGAAAACTTTTATCTTCTACAGACACAAACTTTATTCTTCGAAAGCCAATAGCTTTTGTGACAGATGGGTCTCTTAACCATCTTAATGGGTAGTCAAAACGATAGCCTTCATGCTTTACGGTATCTGTCTCAAACTTTTGACCGACATTAGTAAAAAGTTAGTATCCCTAAGTTGCGTACTGTGGCACTGCGCGCCTCCGTACACCACTTAGCGGTTTTGACACTTTACGAAACCGGTAACGTATATTTTACAACACAACCATAACACCAACTTAACCTTAAATATTTACAAAACCATCTGACACATAAACGACTTCACTAATGACTTCACTAATGACTTCACTAAATAAAAATAACCTTATTTTATTTATTTTCCAACTTTTTTATTTCATTACAAAGACATGTCTGACTACATTTACTATGACTCTTTCCCAGAACGTTTCCGTGAACTATTCAAAACTCAAGTAAAACTGAGAAACATGCATTTTAACAAAGACAGACCCATTGACGATGAAAGAAACCCTGAGTATATTATAATACCTTATGATGCTAAATTTATTGCATACATTCCTTATGGTCGCAGAGGAACGAAAACTATTTCAACAAAGACGAAAAATTATTTCTGGAGCGATGAAGAAAATTGCCTTATCTACATAAATGCATACTTAAATAAAGCTACATATTGTACAAAAGAAGGTTGGACTGGATTTGAGCTCTACATATACGACGACGATGGAAACAGACGCTGTGTATACCCATACGATAATATGTACCATTGTTTTCATCAAGCATTAAACGAATACATAGTCAGTAAGGGTCTCATTCCTGTTGAGTAGATATGCTTTATTTTTGTTCTGTCATTTATATAAAAATAAACTTAAAAATAAACTTAAAAATAAATGATATCACCACCCTCACACGTATGAAAACATAGCACAAAAATAATGTTTATGTTAGAATGTTAGATCTAACACGTTTTCTAACCTCATTTCTACCCTGTTGAATTCATTGCTTTATAACTCTCTTCCTTTCTCCAACTCTTCTAACTTCTTCCTAAGTTTAGCAATGTTGTCCTCATGAAGTTTAATCTTCCTTAATATACCTTCTCTATCTAATGGTTGCTTTATCTTTCTAAACTGAACTCTACCATCCTTCATAGTATGAATGTAAAAACCTTCTGGAATAGTTCCTGATTTAATGTATTCTACCAAGAACTTTTGTTTCATTGCTTCAGTGACTTTAGTCGTCATTTTACTCTAAGGTGAAGCTAGCACAGCGATAATGGATTTCATGACTTTTTAGTATTTCATGCAATCTTAACAGATAGCCTTACAAGTACTTCCAGTGTCCCTAGCTGTCCCTCCTTTTTATATAACTCCATGACATTTATAATCTCGCGAAACTTAACAGGTAGCATAACATATTAAAATCAGATGAGGTTTTGAACCAAAATTTCTAAGCAACGTTGTCAAGGATTTTGAGGAACTAGGGACAGAGTGTGGCAAAGTCCAAGATTTAATTTATCTTCATCTGTTTCATCAGCTATCTCATCTAATATGCCAATATTTTATTCATAACTCGTGGCAAACTCACTAACTTTCATTATGTTCATCTGCATGCTTCATCTGATAGAAAGTATGACTTTCATTAACTCTGTGAGATAATGAAAACTACTAGGGACAGAGACCATGGCAAAGTTTATGACTTTCATTATTTCCAGAACTTAATGAAAACTACTAGGGACAGAGACCATGGCAAAGTTCATGATTTAATTTATTCTCTCACTAACAACAAACACAAACTCCAACACTAACATCAAGTACTAACCTCAGCACAAATGACAAACACTAACAACAAACACAAACTCCAACACTAACGACAAGTACTAACTTCAGCACAAATGACAAACACTAACAACAAATACAAAACTCCAACACTAACGACAAAAATAAATGTCCTCACTTCTTAACAAAGTAATATGTGCTTCTTACACCACCATAGCTCAAACGTTTCTTTTCAAACATCGATTGAAACTTATTTTGAGTCATTGGCTTTAGTCTCTTTTTCTTCAAATACGCCAAGAAATCTTCTTCACATCTTTTCACTTCATAGCCTTCTTTAAACTCCTCCTTGTTAAGTTCTATGAAATCCTTTATCTCATTCTTTGTTGCAATGGCTTCTTCACGAACGACATCATGAACTATTTCAACACTGTTCTCATGAACGACCTCCTCACTGTCTTTCATGAACTATTTCATCACTGTTCTCATGAACGACCTCCTCACTGTTCTCATGAACTATTTCAACACTGTTCTCATGAACGACCTCCTTACTGTTCTCATGAACTATTTCAACACTGTTCTCATGAACGACCTCCTCACTGTTCTCATGAACTATTTCATCACTGTTCTCATGTATGACCTCCTCACTGTTCTCATGAACTATTTCAACACTGTTCTCATGTATGACCTCCTCACTGTTCTCATGAACTATTTCAACACTGTTCTCATGAACGACCTCCTTACTGTTCTCATGAACTATTTCAACACTGTTCTCATGAACGACCTCCTCACTGTTCTCATGAACTATTTCATCACTGTTCTCATGAACGACCTCCTCACTGTTCTCATGAACTATTTCATCACTGTTCTCATGTATGACCTCCTCACTGTTCTCATGAACTATTTCATCACTGTTCTCATGTATGACCTCCTCACTGTTCTCATGAACTATTTCAACACTGTTCTCATGTATGACCTCCTCACTGTCTTTCATAAGCGTTTCAAAGTCTCCTTTACTCATTACTTCAATCTCATGCTGTTCACAGTAGTACTTAAACTCACTGTATATGTCTTTGTTGTATGTTATATTGCTTCCCATGTACTCCATGAATTTTTCAAGCACTTCCTCATAATTCACTGTTTCTTTCTTTCCACGACCTTCTAATATCATACTTGCTTCATAAATATAACTTCTTGCAGAACCGTCTCGCTTTCTACTTCTCTTCACAAATTCTCTCATCTTGCCACCAAATACATTTGAACTACATGCAAAGAATTCATTCTCCTTCGCAAATTCTTTATATCTTCTATAGCACTCTGTACAATTCCATCCGGATACAAACTTTTCATAGAACTCCTCGTAAAACATTTGGTAAGGTGTTTTGTTCATTTCGATGAGTTCTTGTTTAGCCCTGGTGAATGGTATCTTCCTTACATCAAATTCACTTAAATCTTTCCTCATGAAGTACGTCAGTAAGTTTGAATAAAACTCTTCATTAAAGCTTTCAATGAGATTTGAGAAATATTCATAATTTCCTTTGTATCTGCTGCTTACGTCAATGACAACAAATCTTCTGTCGTCTTTGTCAATCTTTACTGAGTTGAAGTTGTTAGATATCATGATGATATTACAAACATTCTCTATCTTTCTTACTGGCTGACACTTCTGATTTAAGTCCAACTGAGTCTCTGTTACTATTGACTTTAGTGCGTCGTGGTTCATGACCTTAGACGTATCGCATGAGCTTAGTTCATTGCATACGATGAGCTTCATGTTCAATAGCAGCATTGAATCTACCAACCACATTCTCTATTGCCGTTATATTATTGTTGGCGTACTTGCTAATGAGCTCGCATAGAACATTACTAAGTACATTCTTACCAGTTCCTTGCTTTCCGATTAACAAAAGTACTGTTCCAGTCTTTCCACAAGGATTTTGAACGATGTAGGCGAACCAGTTCAAAACATACTCATAAAGCTCTTCATCCTCATTACATATGACATCGTGAACATGTTTCAAATATCCTTCAATAACGTTCTCATCTACTTCATTCAGTACCTCATACTCATATCCTCTGAAATAGCTGTAAATGTCATCTCTTTCGTCAAAGAATCTCATGCCTGACTTCATAAGATAGTTCTTGTTCTGACCCGCTTCATAAATCATCAGTGGTTCACATCCTTCTCCTCAATACGTCCTACATAAATACTCTTCATGAGCTTATTGAATTCCTTGCTATCTACTGACACAAGTGTTGTTGTGTTTCGTATTCCATCATAATCTTTCACTAGATATGTCATACGTGCTCCGTCAATAACAACAACACATCTTCTTAAGTCATTTATAACACTAGCTATGTCAATACCGTCCTCACTCATGTACTTATTTCTTCTCAGTCCTTTAGTGTGAAAGTGTCTCTAAGTTCTATTTCAAGCAATTCATTTACACATCCTTTGCAATACTTCTCTATAAAATATTTCTGTCGTTCTTTACTAAGTTTCTTAACAGCTCTGAAGAACCATGTGTTTTGACTCAAACATCCTTCACAACTTCTCTCATTCATTCCTAGTTCTTTCATGTCATTATCTTCAACCTCTATGGTCTCATTGACTAAGGTCAAAGGGTTCTTAGTCATTGCTGGTCTTATCTGAAACAATGTTTGTGCAACAGGTTTAACTAGTTCAGCAACGTCCTTCCTTAATATGAATAGCTGTTTCCACTCATCTTGCTAACAGTTCTTTCATAACCACTGACAGTAATGATTTCATTTGCTGACCTTAGACACTTATGTTCTATCATTTGTATTGCTTTTGTGTAAGGCTTTCGTGACATAGGTTGTATATGTCATTCCTGCAATGTTCATTCATGCCAATAGTACTAAATCCTTTCTTTGCTGTTGAGTGCATAATATCCATTAGTTCCTGTGTTCGTATTGCTGTCTCATAAAATACAACAAGACCTTTGTCATCTATGACGTACTTACCGAAAACATTGCTTATATTCTTTAACCATGAAATAACATCCTCATTCATGCTGTCAAACATGAAGTAAGGTCTTACATACTCTTCACTTATAAGATACTCCACAAAGTACTTGTTAAGCTCTATGTCCTCGTGAGCGATTTCATTAGGTTTGATATTAGTTCTTTTGTCATTGCTGTCATGTACTTCACTCTCATAGTTCCTTTCAATAGCGTAAAAGTACTTCATTGTTTCATAACTGCTCTAAATTCTGTTCAAAATTCGTACAACATAACTTTTAACATTAGTGAAAGAACATGAGCGAAACAACAACATCTAACATTACAGAAGAAGTCAATGACAATGCCGATGAAAACATACAGAAGGAGCTAGTGAAAATATTGACGAGTTCAGTGAGGAAGAAGATATTGAGGACGTCAATGAGAAACGTTAGTGGGGAACAAACTCAATGGGAAACATTGAGAAATCATGAAGATTATGAGATTTGTACGACATATCCTTTTACTATTCGTCGAAAGAAAACAAACATATTAAGAGTGAATGCTTAAATAATCATGGTTATATTGAGCTTAGTTTAAACAACAAAACGCATTTAAAGCATAGAATTATTGCAGAACAGTGGATTGAAAATCCAAACAATTTGAAAGAAATAGACCATATAAATCATGATAGAACGGACAACAGAATCTCAAACCTTCGTTGGTGTTCTAGATCTGAAAACAATAGAAATAAAAGCAAGTATGGCGATATAGTTTATGAGTTCGTTGATGAAATATCTGACGAAAGCTGTTGAAATAACAGATTATGGTAAGCATTCGTTTGAGTTCTACTACTATGTTGAGAATGAGGACGCATTCTATTATTATACAGGTCTTAACTATCGAAAACTTCATATAAACTTTACAAAAACAGGTGCTGCTTATGTTTGTATGATAGATACAGAAAACAAGAGAGTAATCTTATGCATAAACAAATTCAAACGCTTGTACGGCTTCATGTAGGACAAACATTATTTTTCAACACTAACGCCAACACGTAGGACAAACATTCATGACTAACATTACTGTATAACATAAATGTTTTGTCATGACTTCTTCGTATATGTTTTGTCATGACTTCTTCGTATATGCTTTGTCAAAACTTCTTCGTAAATGATTTGTCAAAACTTCTTCGTATATGTTTTGTCATGATTTCATCGTATATGTTTTGTCATGACTTCATCGTAATGAGTGTAAATGACCCAAAAATAATGTTTAGGGTAGAAGGGTAGATCTAACCTCATTTCTACCCTCTTTTTTCACCCTCTTGAATTTTCATACGGAATCTCTTCCCTCGGTTTTCCGAGGGAAGCAATCATATGAGGAAATTCTTCTAAAAGTTCTTTTGTCTGTTGGTTTTCAAACCAATGATATGCTTGCTTTGTAGAACGAAGAGTATTATAAGGCATTTTGTGAAGAATATATCAATCGACGGAATTCAGACGGTTGCTTTTTATACAAAATTCACGCAGGAAAATTCTTGAGTTTTGGTTGAAAGAATACGGTCAAGCCAAAAGTGGCTCGACCTCAAAACAAACATTTATGAGCTTACTAAGGCGTTATGAATGAATTCAAAGGTATTTGCATACATCCTGACCTCGTTCATTTTGTTGTTGAATTCAGCAAAAATAATGTTTAGGGTAGATGGTTTTAGGTGTCACTACGTCACCATGTCACCAGGTTAATTAACTTCTCTTAAAATTACTGACAACATGACATTTAGACAACAGGTACGAAAGGAGGAAGGCATTTATGAATTATTTTTGAATAACTGAAGGTGCTACCATGTTACCATGTGCTACCAGGTTAATTAACTTCTCTGAAAAAGTGTGACAACATGACATTTTGACAACAGTCGGGGAAATATATTTTATCATATATGTTTTGTCATGACTTCATCGTTTATGTTTTGTCATGACTTCATCGTATATGTTTTGTCATGATTTCATCGTATATGTTTTGTCAAGACTTTGTCATGACTTCATCGTATATGTTTTGTCAAAACTTCATCGTAATGAACGTATATGTTTTGTCATGATTTCATCGTATATGTTTTGTCATGACTTCTTCGTATATGCTTTGTCATGATTTCTTCATCGTAATGAACGTATATGTTTTGTCATGATTTCATCGTATATGTTTTGTCATGATGCAAAAATAATGAGTTCATTTACTCACAATATTTTTGTACAAAATGTAAAGTATGGCGGTTTGAAACCGTCGGGAACCTTCACTTTTTTGACGAAGTGCAATTCTTCACTTCGTGTCAAAACTTCATCGTATATGCTTTGTCATGATTTCTTCATCGTAATGAACGTAGCACATGGTAACATGGTAGCACCTTCAGTTATTCAAAAATAATTCATAACTGCCTTCCTCCTGGACTGTTGTCAAAATGTCATGTTGTCACACTTTTTCAGAGAAGTTAATTAACCTGGTAGCACCTTCAGTTATTCAAAAATAATTAATTATTGAATAACCTGAAACCATTAATGTAAACATTATTTTTGGGTCATTTACACTCATTACGATGAAATCATGACAAAACATATACGTTCATTACGATGAAGTTTTGACAAAACATATACGATGAAGTCATGACAAAGTCTTGACAAAACATATACGATGAAATCATGACAAAACATATACGATGAAGTCATGACAAAACATAAACGATGAAGTCATGACAAAACATATATGATAAAATATATTTCCCCGACTGTTGTCAAAATGTCATGTTGTCACACTTTTTCAGAGAAGTTAATTAACCTGGTAGCACATGGTAACATGGTAGCACCTTCAGTTATTCAAAAATAATTCATAAATGCCTTCCTCCTTTCGTACCTGTTGTCTAAATGTCATGTTGTCAGTAATTTTAAAGAAAGTTAATTAACCTGGTGACATGGTGACGTAGTGACACCTAAAACCATCTACCCTAAACATTATTTTTGCTGAATTCAACAACAAAATGAACGAGGTCAGGATGTATGCAAATACCTTTGAATTCATTCATAACGCCTTAGTAAGCTCATAAATGTTTGTTTTGAGGTCGAGCCACTTTTGGCTTGACCGTATTCTTTCAACCAAAACTCAAGAATTTTCCTGCGTGAATTTTGTATAAAAAGCAACCGTCTGAATTCCGTC